AAGGCCTTCTCTTGGGCCGCTACCCTTCCCCGCTGCACCGCCAGCTTCCGCACTTCTAGCCGCCGGCGTTGTCGCCAGGCACGCGGCCGGCCAGCCAGGCAGGAAGCGCTTGCGGGTTTGACTTGCCCACGTAGGATGCTGTGATGCTAGGTGCCCAGCCCTGCAGTCAGAGCTCCTGACCAGCTTCCTGCACGCTCGCAGGCCCTTCTGTTTTCTCATTCCAGCCCTTTCAGCAGCCGTCCCTGCACCACTATTCCGACCTGCGCTGAGCTCACCTTTTCTTCTGAGCCTTCCCGCCTCCCTTTGCCCCTGTCCGCCCGCACTTGTCGGTGTCGTCGCCCTCGCGAACCTTTTTTCGACCACCGTGCAGCCTGCCCGGTCCGGTGCACTCCGGAGTCACTTTGGAGTCGTGGTTGCCTGCTCAGGCGTGCTGCTGGTGAGAGTTCCACCTTCTTCGTGGCTGGCAGGGCCAAGCTGCAGCCGCCGAGGTTTGCCGGCATCGTGAGGCCTTGCTGGCAGGCGCCGATCCTGCTGCCCTAGTCAGTCCATTTGTTTGGTTTTTTTAAAGCGTTTCCTCACTACAGTGACTACAGTGCCTGTCATCCCTTCCGTGTTCTCATGCTGCGCCGCCGACGCTTCCCCTTACCTCTTCCTGAGTGCCTGCCGGTGCCGTCGCCTTCTGGACCCCTTCGGCGACCATCGTGCAGCTTGCGCCCGGTCAGCTGTAGGCGCGTTTTGGCCCAGAGCTCGTGCGGGCGCGCAGATGCCGGTTGGTCGTGCTTGCGGTTGAGGTTCGTGGGCGGTGGAGTGATGAGGCCATATGAGGCCGCCTCCCTCATCCGGTCCTTGGCCCGCGACTTTGAAGCGCCAGCTCAGCTGCGCCATTGTTGTCAGCGCTCTTGTTGCCAGGTGGTCGGCCCAGCTGGCCCACGCAGGCGTGGAACGGGGCCCGGCTCGTAGTTGACACTACGAGTGTGAGGCGCGTTCTCGGCGCGACCCAGCCCGGCCCACCGCCCTTCTTGAGCCTTGGCGCCGTAGGAATCCGACCTACCCCGATCTCCTTAGCACCGCTGCCGCTTTGTTGTGCTCGGGATCGATGTCGGGAGCCGTTGGGGGTCAGAAGCGTTTGTTTTTTCCTCGCCCCTTCGCGCGTGCTAGAGCCCCAGGGCCCTCTGCCCGGACATGAGCAGGTCACTCGACACATCTTTGGTCTCCTGTCTCCTCTTCCGGCGGGCCCCGCAGACACGCTGGCCACGTTGACGGGGCTGCCCGAGCTGCTGCGCTCCCAGCGGTGCCGCCTTGTCGTGCTTGCCATCGAAGTGGGGGGCCGGTGGATCCCTGATGCGCGCATCCTCCGCAGCTTTGCTCGTGCACGAGCTCGCTCCACGCCGACCCTCCTTCAGCCGTCAGTCGTCTCCGCTTTCGTTGCCCGTTGGTCCGCCTTGCTCGCGTTAGCCGCCACTTCGCAGGGCGCCTCGCCCCTTGCTGCCGGGACTCGTGCTGATGCAAAAGGCGTGTGGAAAAAAACACCTACCCGCTGTGCGCCCCTGTTTCCTCAAGGGCTGGCCCGGTAGCTGCCGTGTGCACGCGAGGACGTTGCCCTCCGTAAAAACAGCGTGCGTGTGGGGGAAGCTGCTCTCCGCAACAACAGCTCGCGAAGCTCTTGTGCCCAGGCCCCTTGAAGTCGACGGGTTGCTGTTGCGGAATCCGGTGTGAGAAAAAACTGTCACAACCTACACCCGCGCCTAAACATGCAGATTACGTGACTCCTTCCACCAAGGAGTGCGCGTGCTGCGATCTTCTCGCTCCTGAGTCGTTAAAGCCGGTGGGTGCTGGAGCGCCCGAAGCCGCAGACTTCACTTGCAGAGCCTCCGCGCATCCGCGGTGCATTAATGGCTCCTGGCTCTCCGCCCCCCGCACCTTTTCTGGATCGTTCTACTTCGGCACCTCCAGCCCCCCCTCCCCATCACCAAGAGCACATGCCGGCGTCATCGTCGTTTGGGCAGCGGTGCACCCTCGAAAGCACGGCCGCCCGGGTGGGGCCAGCGCTCGTAAGAGCCAATCAGCTGTAGCGCGCGCCGGGGCCCCACAACCAACAGCGATTGACAGCATCCAAAAACATCCGGCGGGGCAACGACTGAGAGGGGGGCCGCCGGCTCTCATCCCCGTTCTGCATGACCTGTCTGCGGGGCCCTGGTGGCTGAAAACGGGGCAAGTCTCCAGCAAGTACCCGCCGACCGTGCCTTTTTTTTCTTCCTCTCACAAAAACAGAAAACCAATTCCAGGAAACACAGCCAATTCCTAGGAAAAACGCAGCCAATTCTAGGAAAAACGGAGCCAACTTTTTGGTACGGCACGGGGGTACGGTTGGTACGGTACGGGGGTACGGTGTGTACGGTGCGGGGGTACGGTTGGTGCGGTGCTGGGGTACGGTTGGTACGGAGCAGGGGTACGGTTGGTGGTTGGTGCGGTGCAGGGGCACAGTTGGTCCGTACCTCGAAATTGGTGGTGAGCTCTGTCCGTGGTCCGCTAGCGGCCAGCAAGCGGCCTCTCAAGAGCTGAAGCGAAAGCAGTCATGGCTGCATGGGTCAGCTGGGCAGGCCACCGCGCCACAAGAGCAGGCCCTGCAACATGGACTGAAACTGTCACTGCCTGTTTGAGGTTCAAGTCGGCTGCAAAGAAGTGAGCGACGCTCTCAGCAATTGCCCGGGTCGACAGGGCAAGGCTTCGGCCTTTTGCCGGGCAAAACCACAGGCGACCAGGCAGGGACCATGCGGGCAACTTCCGGAAGGTCCAGGGGCGGCGCCTTTGCCGCAGGTTGGAGAGGCTCCCGGGCTATCCCTTGAGCACATCCGGGGGCCGCCGGTATATAAGTGGCCTGCAGAAACAGGCGGAAAAGGCGCGGAGAGTGTCCGGACCGGATGTTTTACTCCGCGCCCTCCAAACACGAGCAGGGCAGCTCCTTTGATGCCACTTTGCCAGCAACCAACTGCAAGAAACAGTGTCAAGCAGCTGTCTTCCTGACATCTCCAAACTGTCAAGAGACAAAGGAGGTCCGCAAATCAAGGTGATTGAGCGTAAGAGCTGGGCTGAGCATCAGATGCGAAGTTGATGGAGGAAGGCGATAAAAAGACATTCCGAGTGCTGTGGCTACATAGCAGGAGGCAGAAGAAACTGAAAGACTCCTTCGCACCGGAGCCAAGAACTACGCCCAGTTGTCACATGGTGGCCCTCTGCCGCTTCGGTCTCTGCGTATTGGCGTCTTGGGCTGATTGTTTGCCTTTCCTTGGTCAGCACTTGCGCCGCTACTGCCGCAGATTGGACTCCTCAACTGGCTTGAGCTCTGTGATGGTGCGCAGGCCTCTCAGGAGGACGGGCCTTCGCTTCCCTTCTGCGCTTCCTTGCGCATGCTTCCTGATAAGCTGGTAGATGTGCGTGAAGAGGTATCCGCTAAAGCAGCAGCATGGTGCTGCTCCAAGTCCAAAAGTTCAAAATAAACTTGGCTACAAGTCGGCGTGGTAAATCGCCCAAGCAACTCACTCAGTGCCAGCAATGAGGGGGGAGTCAACATTCACGATGACATTCAAGGCCTAGAGAGTACCTGTGCGGTTGCGTGTTCTTGCATGAAGTTGTCGTTTCATGCTTGATTGATTTGGCTCAAAGATTGAAAACAGCGCGCTGTCGCACGTTGGTTGCCCTTGGCAACTTTCTTGCTGCTGCACCCCCTCTGCCAGCAGATGCCCAGCTCCTGACCAGGCACTCCTGGCTGAAGAGCTGCGGAAACCACCCCCAGACTCACCGACCCGCCTTGCCTGCGGGCCCCCGTTAACCCCCAGCAGTCAAGTAAGTCTGCATGAACAAGTGCAGCAGCGTGTGTTCACGCTCACACTCTGTGCCTGCTGCCGCCCGTTGCTCGCTAAACGTGGTTGGAAGTTGTTGCTGCTGGTGCCACGCACGCACGCTGCTGCACCGGCAGAGTTTCTTGTTTCCCCCAAGACGCCAGCCGCGGCGCCGTCGGCGCGCCGGAGCCAAAATGCCGGCCCAATTGGCCAGCTTGGGCGAGATGTCGGGCGCTCACTGCCAGCCGGAAACCTTGCGTGTGCCCGCGCGCGAGCCGCTCTCTCTCGTGAGGCCTGTGCCACCCGAGGCCGTCCAACCGCCGCAGGCTGGCCCGTTGCGCCCACTGGCGTTGGACGTTGCCTGATTGCCTCTTCTTGGTCTGCGTTCTGCGGCTGTTGTTGCGCCCGCTGCGTATTTGTAGAGGAAAGGCGCGACGGAGCGCGGAGTTCACAGTTGAGAATGTGAAAGGGCAATGGCCAGTCCATCCTGTTGCTGCTGTGTCGCAGCTCCGTCGGGCGAAAACATGAAGGACATGGCTGCGCCAGGGCATCGAGCAGAATCCAGCAGCAAGCAAGCAGACGGACTGGGCGTTGCGTGGGTGCCGTTTCAGTTTGGTGCCCTGTAAAGACGGAAGCTCAAACACTTACAGGCGAAACGCCATCGAAGTAATTCGCCACCGAGACGCTCGTCCGGCCAGTCGGAGATGACACGCTGCGTGTTGGCGCTGTGCGAGCAGGCAGGCATCAAAGGATTGCCCTGTGTCGCTTGGTGCACAACAAAAGAGAGTGAGCAGCTGTGCGCGATTTCCATGGTGCAACGGCCTCGGCCTCCGTTTTGCGACTGGGCGTTGTGGGCTGACTCGATTTTGTTAAATAGTTTTAGTTGACAAATGAATGTTCTTGATTGAAACTATTTGTCAAACAGCTGTGCCTTCATCTATTGTGTTTTTCTCAATGTAAAGACTAAGAGCGCGCAAACCTTACAATGCGAGACAAAGCTCAGACTATTGTGTGAAGCGTTGTTGCCATCTCCCGTGCAGGTGTGTCCGCTTATGATTTGTGCTTGACACTGGCCCACGGAGGCTGCTGCTGGACTTGTTTTTTGCGCGTTCGCAATCACCGGCTTCGCGAACAGGGAGTGTGCTACGGGCATCGTGTTGCAGAATTTAAGCTCAAGACAAGATGGAGCTGCATGTTTAGCTTGAACGCCTCTGCCATGCAGAATGGCAGCAATTCACACGACGACTGCCTTTGTGAAGGCAATCAAGGCCCGGGCTGGTTTGCTTTCTTGACAGTTGAAAGGGCAACTTGTGCCTTAATGGCGGCAGCCGGATTTACACAAGGAATCGGCCGACACTCTGAGGAAAAACATTGCCCTGGTCTCAGTGTCCAATGGCTCAAGGTGTGCATCATGCGCTTTTTCATGCTTGTGAGGCGTTGATCTATGAAAAAGATCCATATGGCAGCGACAGCGGTGGACTGAGACGCTGAACTGTCCTGTGCTTTATCACTTTGGCCATCAGCGCTGTCATGGTTTGGCTTTGCTAGGACACAGCAATTTAGCATACCAACCAAGCTGTCACTGGGGATGTCTTCAAAAATGCTTGTTTTCAAATGTTCACTGAATAATCCAACATAATATTAGTGTTGAATGGGGGCAAGAACTGCAGCAGGTTTGGCAGGCAGAATCGTATGCGGTTTCTGCGGAACGTGCTCCCTAGCTGTTTCTCCAGGTGACGCTGAGGACGGCGAGAATGAAAACGCAAAAGAAGAAGCGCCCGCAAGGCTGCTAGGGTTACACTGTTTCGTCACAGTTTGCCAGTTGCACACCCAAGAAACTCCAAACTCTGGCATTGCCAATTCTTCGTCTTGCCCTGGGTGGCTTGTGTTTGCTCAGGGTGGAAATCTCGAGCCACACCGAAGCCGTGGTGCATGATGCCCGGAAGGCCCATGGCCAAGGCACTTGCCGCTTGCCGCTGCCACTGGTGGTGTTCAGGTGCCAGTTGCGGAGGAGTCTGACGATGACAACGAGAGCACGGGCCACGCAGAACCAGATCTATGAGTCGTTGCGCGGCTCATGCCAAGGCAGCTCTGCAGTTCATGTGAATGCAGTCACTGACGAGCATTTCTTGGACTTCACCCTGGATGACCTTCTCACCGGTGCCTTGCCTAGCATGCCGACTTGTTGGGCGTTTCTGCCTGGTTCTGTGAGCACTGCGTGCGCCCGCGCCGCGAAGAAAACACCGCGGACTTCAACCTGGAACTATGCAAGCTGCAGGTTGGTTGGCTCCAAAGGCGCTGGGTCACATGGGTATGCAGATGTGTGGCAGGTCGGGCGTTTGTTTGGCAAAGTGCGGATTGAAGAGCGCATTGAGGCCGCGAAGGCGCTGTGAGATCCGCTGTTCAGCCTTCAAGCGAAGAAGGTTGTTTCCACCTTGCATGCTAGGAAATGGAACAATGGATGGAAGTCCTGAACACCTTCCAAGATGAATCCCGCAAGATGCTGGATGAAATAGAGGCGGGCTGCATCGTCAGGATTGATCTCAGAGGGTTTGGCCCGAGGCGACGGCAGACACAGCGGGACAAGGTCTAGAGGAGCGACGTGGCCAGCTTATGCGGGAAACGGCTTGCGCAAGCGGCGTGTGGCAGGAAAGCGTTTCTCAAAGCGGTTTGGTCAACATCTGTCATCAATCCTTGCACCCTGCCATGACGTTCCACAGTTTTGCGCTCCCGCCTTTGAAAATTGAATCACTGTGGGTGTGCGCGCAGTCAATGCCAAGTGCGCATGCAGGGCAATATGCGATTTACCTTGCTGCTCAACCCAGACGGTTTGCCCACCAAGGCCAGGACATAGCCACCATGGTCGGCCAAAACAACATTAAGATCACAGAGCACCTCGCTCAGCTGCTAGTAATAGAAGCAAAATAAACCACCAGCATCCCGAGGATGATGAAAGGTTTCATGGACAAGGCACGTGGCAGCCTTGCTTGCCTTCAAAACTCTGGGGCGCAGTCAGGCAGCACAGACGCGGCTTGACACCATGGACATGCTGCGGGCCCGTCCTTCTGTTGAGCAAGCTGGTTGCATGTGCAGTACTGCAAGGCCAGGTTTACTCGGAATGCTTATGACGACTTCTGGGATGGGCTGCCAGCACCTCAGACCGAGTGCTACAAAAACCACGACTTGGCGCCCGTCAAATTTACTAAGGCAGACTACCATTGACAGGCAAAGAATGCGGAGAAGAAGCCAGATCTCGGAAGAACATGCCGCAGAAGTGGTAGCGGAACAAAAACGCAGAGAGTCGCTTGCAGGAGCTCAGTTCTTGCCACAAAGTGGGCTGCTGGCTGGCATTAGCAAATCAACTGAAGCGGAAGACAGCATAACCGAGCAAGGGGCAGAAGATGTGACTTTGTCCAATTTGTCCGTGAAGCTTCATTTGCCAGGAGGATTGTCAGGAGTGGTGCCTGAAGAAGGTGACCAGACGACCCCAAACATGCTGGCCGCACAGATGTTGGAGGCGAGAATGGCTCTGTTTGGGTCGCTGTGTTTGCTGCGGGCGTAGGCAATCTCAATGCAGCAAGATGAGAGCTCGACTCAGGGGAGTTACTGAGTTTCTGCATCTACTCGAGCAAAACGTGCATAGCCCAGGACAAGCTACAGGAAGACACGAGTGGAAATGGAGTCTGGCAAAAAGCAGCCCGGGTCCAAGCTGTGTAATAGTCATAGTGGAATGGGGCAACCGCGAACTGCAGGCAGTACGAGAACCTGCTTCAGCTGGCAGAAGCCTAAGCGCAAGCCGCCCGGATGCTAGGAAAGTGCAGCAGCACCTGATGCTAGGCGGCGGGCGGTGAAGAACCCGAGGCGCTTTGGCTCGCGAAAAGCGCTTCCACGCTTTGCTTGCGGTTGCAAGCCGCGCATCTGACACAGCTCATGCTTCGCAGACAGCCTGAAGCTTGCCAGGAGGGCGCAGGCCAAAGCGCCGCCCTCAGTGAGATGCCTTGCGGTTTGGGGTTTGGCGGGGGTGGTTTGGCGTTTGGGGTTTGGGGTTTGGGGTTTGGGGTTTGGGGTTTGAGCCGAAAGTTGTCCACTTTTGTTGCCGCGAGGACTGTCCGAAGCTGAACGCGAGCTCCTCTCCAAGGCCCTTTGGCCATCTGAGTTGAGCCATGACCCACGCCTCGAAAGTCCAGGTACAAGCTGAGGCCCGTGTGGCAGCCTCCGAAAAGCTGCTGAACACAGAGGACACCGATTTCAAGAAAGCACGGGATAAACCGTGGAAGGCTTCTTGCAGTGGAAGGCTCCTAGTTCTGAGCTAAAACGGTTTTGGCAATTCAGTGTGCTTTTCGTTGGGTGTCATGCATCATGTTAATGCATTGTGCATTTTCACGTCAGTTTGCATGAGTATGCAAATGTAGACATATGCACACGTGCTAGATAAACGTATATAAACGTATCGTTTTACTTTACATGTGCACATGACATGTCAAGAATGTGGATGTGCGTTACATACGCACCACAGGCATATAATGTAAGATTATTTACACACATACATATACATAAACACATATATATATATATATTTATTAGGGTCGACACGCAGAATTCCCAGGTGCACACAACGTGAAATTAACATTTTCATTTGACACTGTTTGTTTGCACACACGCATGCGCAAATGCTATTGAAGTACAGGCAACGCATCTTACAAACATGCATCACACCCAGCAGCGTCAAGCCCACCACAAGTAGATGCGCCACAGCAATCACGACACTACATGACGTTGAGCAGGAGGGAGCACCGTTTGCCGTTTAGGAACTGCCACCGAAGCATTGTATTTTCTAAGCAGGTAGTGTTGATATACGCAAGCCAGGCGCCTTCTTGCCAGGATCCCCTGCTAGCTGTTCCAGAAGTATAGGGACACAGGGTTTGAGCCATTGGTGCATTTCTTGAGATGACTCTGACTTGAGCATTCTGCAGGAGGGACAAAGGTTGGCAGAGAGGGTTCTGGACTTACGAGTTCCGTGTTGTCGTGTGTTCTTTGCGTGCTTGTGTCAGCCCGGTTGTTTTTTTTTTTATGCTGCTACATGCTCAGGCAGGTGGCAAGAACTTCGAGGTTCCTGTCTGTCAGGTGAGGGAAACACATTGCTTTCACTTGCCAGGAGCAGAATCAAATCGTCTTTGAGTGCCAGCTTCTGAGCCACATGGTTTCGTGCCGCCGCACCATGGAAAGCTACCTCACAGTATTCCCTTTAGGTAGGAACTTGGAGCAGAAGGCTGGGCAGTGCGGCACATTTGGCACGTGTCGAAGTGGAAGTTCCATAGGCAAAAGAGCTCGAAAAAGAGCTGAACAACACGTGCGGCGCATGGGTGTGCAGGTAATTTGACAGTGCACTGACCCAGCTCGCAAGGACAACATCAGAGGAAAGAATCAAGGCTGGGTGTTTGCGGCTGGTGCCGCATGTGTCCGGTTGAAAACATCGAGAGGATCTCGAGCAGCAGCTTGCGCTCAAGAAAGCTCAGTCTGAGCCTTGGAGCCTTTGAGCCTTGGAGCATGGAGCTGCCATCGGCGGCCATGGGCTCAGGCTCGACCGTGATGCAAGGCGGTCAGATAGGAAGGCCACGCACTCGGACTGCGGACCTCGGACCGCAGCTGCAAGATGACCTGAGCGGACCTGAGGCGAAACGAGAACAGAGCCGTGCCAAGTTCCAAGTTGGGATCGGCTGCGCCTTACTTGAAGCTGGCAGCAAGCAAGGAAGCTGCTGACCCGGACGCAGAGGAAGTGAAGGCAGGATGCGAGTTTGAGCACCGCTTTCTTTTAACGCCTCCGGCTCAGACCGCCGACATCATAGGCCTGCTTTCTTATTTGTGTCGTATTTTCCCTTTGGAATTATCCCATTACAAGTCTTACCGCGGAATGTCTCCATTCGAATTTTGCCTTTGGAATTCTCCCCTTGGAATTGGCCCTTGTATTTTTCCCAGAGCTCTCCCATTGGAATTCGCCCTAAGGAATTGTCCCATTTGGACTTTTCCCCTTTTGGAATTCTCTGAACTTTTCCCATTGGACCGTTTTGCTTTGGACGTTTTTCCCATTGGAATTCTCCCTTTGGAAAGACCCCATTGGACATTTCACATTGGACTTCTCCCAATGGAATTTTCCCATCTACCTTTTCCTTTGGAAATTGTCCCTTCGGAATTCTCGCATTGGAATTATCCCATTGTAATTTTCCCACTATTGTTTTTTTCCCTGTGGAGTTCTCTCCCATAAGAATTTTATCCACTGGATTTTTAGCTTTGGAGTTTTCCCTTTGGAGTTTTCCCATCATTTTTTCCCATTGAAATAGTCCCATTGTAATTCTCCCGGTGGAATTGTCCTATTGAACGTTATCCTTTGGAGTGCTCTCCCATTAGAATTTTACCCATTGGATTTTTCCCTTTGGGATTTTCCCTTTTTAAATATGAGCGGCCGACAATCAGAACATCTTCGTGGCTTAACTTGTTAAGATCTTAAGGGCTTCAAGTCTGAAAATAGCAATGGCTTACAATCTTGAATTCTCAATAGCTTCCAATCTGACCATCTTAATGAAGTTACATCTTAGAATCTTGGTGGCTTAACGTGTCAAATCTTCATGGCTTAAAGTCTTAACATCACAATGGCTTCAAATCCTTAAGGGCTTGAAATCCTAGAATCTTCACGGCTGAACATCTTACTGGCGTAAAGTCTAAAGAATGTAGTGGCTGAAAAGAATATCTTAGTTGCTTAACGTGGTAGAATCTTAATGGCTGAAGATCTTAAGATATTAATATTTCAATAGTGTAAACCATGACGCAAGCTGCTCAGATTCACAGAGTTTAAGCCATTAGGATTTTGAGATTTTGAGGAGTTCAGCCATTATTTTGTGATTTAAGCCATTGAGATGTTAGCACATTAACATCTATCTTGGATGCGACAAGACACGAATACGGACCCTTCATGTGACTCTTTGCGCCCCTTTTTTTTCCAGGATGTCATCCAGACAATGCCAGTGATGCTGGCGATGTTGCGCTGAAGCTGCTAAGGATGCAAAGGCGGACCCGCCCACTGTGCCGCAGGATTCAACCTAAAAGGGAACGTCTAGGAATCACCGCGTGGTACGTGCCCCCCCCCCCCCCCGCAATAGTCTGAAACAGTGCCCCTGGGGGCGTAACGGGCAAAGAAGTAAGGAGCATTTCTTATGTCCAATACGCCGTTTGTTGTCGGCGGATGTGTCTACATGGTTGCCTGTGCTTCAAGGCTCCCGAGGCATCAGCAGTCATCGCAGAGTTCCTTGTCTGCACTGAAGCCAGATCTCGGCAGAGACTCGCTAGTTGCTCGCAATTTACCAGTCGCCTCTGAAAGTCCTCGTTGTTTTGGCTTGATTTTTTAGCCGAGGTTGCTGTGCCTGGTGCCAGGAATGGAAGTGAGTCTGCAACAGGCCGACTTGGGGAAGCCCAGGCTTCACGATGCCATAGCCACGTTAGGTGCAAGAGGCTTTGGAGAGACTGCAGCGCACCTTCGAGGCGGAGAAGGCACGCGCGTGGTCGTAACTTTGAAGGTGCGAAGCCGAGATGCGAGTGTCAGGAGAGGGCGCTGAACGAACGCATGGAGCCGGGTTCTGAGATTCATTCTGAGCAGTCTCCTTGTAGAAGCCGTCCTCAGGTCAGCCGGCATCAAGCCACGTGCTCAGTCGCATCTCCATGCCTGTCACACTTCCGCCATCAGGCCTGATGACTTGTCCAAGTCCAAAGTCGACGTCTTGTCCAGGGCTTTCAATTTCAAGCAGTTTCAAAGTAAATTCCAGCACGTCGTTTGCAAACGCCCATGATTCAGGCACGAGAGACTTCAGAAGGTCAAGGACGAGGCGCAGTTCCTGATGGAGGAGAGGACCAAGCTGGAGCAGGAGCCCTTCATTGCTCCTCCGTCCCGATTGGGGAGCGGCAAAGCGGCAAGCCACCGAAGCTTTCAGGAGCTGAAGCCGCCGAAGCCGGCCAAGAAGCCGAAGGCCAGGTCGCTCCATGCTCGCTTCTGATGCGGGGGGAGAAAAAAACGACCCATGGAAACGCGACGCAGAAGCCGCAGGCAGCGGCCGCGCAAGCCGAGCCCGAAAAGGAGGAAATTGAGCACACGGAGCAGGTGTTACAGTGGCAGTTCCGGCCCCATTTGAAATGACCCCAGTTGGATTTCCCGGATTCCAAGAACCGCCTAAGGACGGCTTGCGCGGCGATTGGCTTCCTCTTTGACGCCAACGGCATGCCCACCATGACTGACGAGGTGAGGCTTTCAGGAGCTCGAGGCGTTTTGTGCTTGCCGCTGAGGTGCCACGTCTCATAGACATCAAAAGCGTCGTGGAGCCAGCTCCGTAGTCCAAGAGCCAGTGGGCTACGCAGGTTTTAGTCTTTGGTTCCATTTGCCAAGACACCATTGTGGTACTTTTGTTTGAGCCACAGCCAATTCTTTCGCTTTGGCTTAGTGATCAGGAGAACATACTCCATTGGGTCAATCTTGTGAGCCTGAGGTCACGGCCATATCTGGCTGCTCTTACAAAGGCACTGTTAGAGACTTGCGTCGATAGCGGGCTGTGAATCGGCAAGGCCTGCCGGCTGCTGGAAATGCATCGGGCACCATCCCGAGTTTTTTTTGGTTGGGTCGGGTTGCTTTGGGTGTCTGGTGCTGGGTGCATATCTTTCACCAAAGTTGAATCAAAATTCTGCGAGACGTTGTCATTTCACTTCAGGAGACCTTAGTCCAGCAGCTCGTGGCGAGCGGCGAGCTCCCGGAGCAGCTTGAGGACAGCCAGGAGCTTCGGATTGCCTTGGACATGCGGCCCCCTCTGCATGGCTCTTGGCTCTGGGCTAGGATGTCTCCCGCGCCGGCGAACAGCAGCTCGCCAGCAGAATCGCAATCCGGCACTTCTGATTGGCTCGAGTGCGAGTCATGTGTAGGCGCCGGCAGCCTGCCGGGCACCAAGCACACTAGAGGTGGGTGTGTAGCCCGCCTTCTGCAAGGCTAGAGGAGGCAGAGATGGGAGCAGCAGGGGGAGAGAGGAAGGAGCAGGACGAGCGGGACAAGTAGGAGGAGGAGCAGGCGGAGGAGGAGGCAGAGGAGGAGGAGGAGCTGGAGGAGGAGTAGCAGGAGGAGGAGGAGCAGGAGGAGGAAAGGCACCACCAAGAGGAAGAAGAGCATCAGCAACAGGACCAGGAGTCGAAAGAGAATCCGAGCGAGAATCGGGCAAAGAAGCTGGCAGGGAGGAAGGAAGACGGGCGAGCAAGCAGGGAAGGCAGGATTAATTAATTATGCAATTTGTGTCGCAAGACATTCGCTGGATCCGCCACCGCCTTCTGTCAAGCCAGGCGAGCATCCATGGAGAAGGCCAGGAATGGCCTGAGAAGCGGTGGCTTCGCATAGCGCAGCTCAAGCTGCCTTGTACGCTGTTTCCTGCTCTTTTTTTTCTGCGCCAGCCGTCCACTAGCTCTGCTCTTCTCGGGTCCCAGGTTCAAAGGTGCCCCTCGCGTGCTTCTTCCCATAACCTCAGACCCCGCGAGCACCTGAAGCACCCGATGCCTTTAGCCCAGCACTCCGCAGCACAGCTTCAAGATCTGTTCCGCCTTCTCACCGAGGAGGGCTGCTGCTGCTGCTGCTGCTGCTGCTGCTGCTGCTGCTGCTGCTGCTGCTGCTGCTGCTGCTGCTGCTGCTGCTGCTGCTGCTGCTGCTGCTGCTGCTGCTGCTGCTGCTGCTGCTGCTGCTGCTGCTGCTGCTGCTGCTGCTGCTGCTGCTGCTGCTGCTGCTGCTGCTGCTGCTGCTGCTGCTGCTGCTGCTGCTGCTGCTGCTGCTGCTGCTGCTGCTGCTGCTGCTGCTGCTGCTGCTGCTGCTGCTGCTGCTGCTGCTGCTGCTGCTGCTGCTGCTGCTGCTGCTGCTGCTGCTGCTGCTGCTGCTGCTGCTGCTGCTGCTGCTGCTGCTGCTGCTGCTGCTGCTGCTGCTGCTGCTGCTGCTGCTGCTGCTGCTGCTGCTGCTGCTGCTGCTGCTTTGCTCAGCTCGCGCATGGGGCACTACCCTGGCGCCCTGCCTTTTCTTGGGACTGTGTGTCGGCTCTCAGCAAGGCTGAAGGAGCAGGTGCCATCAGGCCCTCACAGCTGCGTTGCCTCATCACTTCCTTGCGACAGGCCTGGAGGAGACAGGCCATTCGCCCGAACTAGGTCCCAATTCGGGCAGCTCTTAGCATAATGGGCTATCTCTCTTCGGCTGACACGCCTCATCCTTGGTGCGAGCGACTCCTCAAGCCCCACATCTCCACTCGCACACGCGCGCACACAAGCCTGCAAGCACGCATCGCGCTGCTCTGGACACCCTTGCCCAGTTTGTGCCCATTTTGCTTTGCAGATTCAGCGTTTTTGCTTCCATTGAGTGAGTGATGTGGCCCCTGAAGACTTGGAGGAGATGAGACCGCCCAAGAGAAGAGGCAGGATGGCGCTGATGGGAGCCGCGAGCCGAGCTTGAGCGCCCTGCCGTGACACTCCACGCACCGGCAGAGAGACCCGGCGATTGCGTCAAGGCGCTTTGCTCGCCGCGAGGGTCTCAAGGAAAAAAAGGCCATGGGCCACATGCAGCGCAGTGGGCGCCACTGCAGGGAAGACCTGCCCACTGTGACAGAGGAGGCGAAGGCACGGGACTGCATCCCCGGATTTTGCCATGAGCATGAGGTGCCCTGCAAAACTGACAGGCCAGCGTGCTAGGTCTGCTCAACACGCACCGGGAGCTGGAAGACCTGTCACGAGCTTAGGCGACGCCCGGTCCCGGCAACGCAAGTGCACGCAGCCCAGGCGCAGTCAAGTGAAGCACCTGGACACCCGCATTCATCGAGCAAAGTCGCGACCTTGTGGTTTCATGATGTGTCATACAATCCCCGCGTGCATGTGGAGCCGAGGATACAGAATCAAGATGGCAAGAAGGACAGCCGCACCGCCCCAAGTGGATGGCTTGAATTCATGGTTTAAGCAGCTTAAAGGTGCGAAGGCAACTGTTTAGCGCGCACTAGCCACGTGCCTTCATCTTGCCTCATTTTGCCATGCGAAAGGTGGAGGTGACGACGATGAGGACGATGGTGGTCCAGACGAGAACCGCGAGCTGAGACGAGAGGCCCTTCGTGCTAGGAATGATCGCAGAAGAGATTTCTTGCACAGGTTATTTTGTGACCCTGGCTTGATGCATTCCGGTCTCCAGCCCATCATCCGCCAAGCAGGGGACACGGCAGATTGGTAGATGATTTTTTTTGTCATGAAACCAGGACTGGTGACAGATAGGACCGGATCCCCACAGGTCCCCCATCGGCTTCCTACAGGTCCTAAAGTGTGTTCTGCAGAGATTGTTGAGACCGACGCCGTCAGGTTCAACGGAAGCAGAAGGAGCTGAATGGACTGCGAAAGCGTTGGGCGTTTGACACCCAGCTTGAGAGTCACGGCTATGCGATAGCATGCTGGCAAAGTGCATTTCCCGAGGGAAGAAAAAGGCACTCGAGAGAAGGCTGCATAAGCCTCAGCAAGAGATTGCACGGGCACACTGTGCGAGGTGTTGCCTGGTGTTGCCTGGTGTTGCCTGGTGTTGCCTGGCGTTGCCTAGGTTCAGCGCCAGTCAGCCATGACAGGATCGGCGGTGAGGCTGGGGCAGCACAGATACTTTTCAAGGCTGCGTTTTTGCTTGGGAGTGTTGAGGTATTTGGTCATGGGCCGGCAGGAGGTGCGTTCTCGTTGACCAGATGCATGTGCACTAGATGTTCCCTACTCGCAAGGCTGCAAAAGCTGATGACGCGGCCTCTACATCCTCTTCGTCATCTTCATCCTCAAGTTCTGACTCCTGACTGGACAGCCAGTCACAACAAAATGTCGATTGGCCTTGCACCAACGCCATAGCATAGCAACAGCCAGCTTGGCAGAGGTTCGTTGCAGAGTGCAGGACTTTCGCCAGCCCTGAATGCCCAGTGCTTGCAGTCGGCTAGTTTTATGGATAGCGTACCTGTCTAGACAGTGCGCCGGCATGCGTGACCAAATCTCGACACTGAGCCGAAGGCTCGTGCTTGCAGATTTGAGAATCAGTTGTGAGC